AATTTTTTGTATTTTTAGTAGAGACGGGGTTTCACCATGTTGACCAGGATGGTCTCGATCTCTTGACCTCGTGATCCACCCGCCTCGGCCTCCCAAAGTGCTGGGATTACAGGCTTGAGCCGCCGCGCCTGGCAAAAGGATCTTTCAAAAAAGAAGAAGAAAAAGACCTTTGGGGTCAGGAGCCCAGGACTGTTCCGGGGGCCCCACCGTCTGGCCTGGACGTGAGCCGGCTGTGTTGCCCGCGGCGACCCTGGTCACAAGGGCAGGCCCCACAGTCCAGGGCTGTGCGCCCCTCCCCTCTGGCCCGGGTCTCCCCGCGCACGCAGCTGCTCAGAGGGACAGGTGGGCAGGACTCCGCACGTGGGGACGGGCACCCTCCTCCCCTCCCTGCCTCGCCCCAGCCACTCCCGCCCGCACCCCACCCCAGGGGGCCTCCCAGTGCCCAGGACCGTGTCTGGGAAAAGCTGTTTGTCCCGGGAGTGGGAAGAGACAGGAGGGTGCGCAGAGGGCAGGTCGGGAGTTCTGGGAACCGAGGGAGACGCAGTGGGGGGGGTGGGAGGCGGAGGTGAAGGGGGGGCGGGGAGCAGCGGGAAGAGGACCAGGCGGGAGGGGCCGGTGGCAGGGGCCGCAGGCGGGCTGGGGGTCCCGGGAGCCGCGCTTTCCCTCCTGCCTCTCAGGGACGCGCTGCCGAGGAGCGGCGGCTCCTCCCCAGGCCCCGAGCTCCGGGCGCCGCGCCGTCCTCCCTCCCCACGCGGCGCGGGGGGCCGAGGGCAGAGCCGGGACTGCCCCAGGGGCCCAGCAGGTGCCCAAAGCCCGCGCCCCGCAGGCCCCAGCGCCCTAGCCAGCCCGGGAAATGCACCTGCGGCCCGAGCGCGCGGGGGTCACGTGGCCGCCCTCCCCCCTCGCCTTAGACGGGAGGGCGGCGCCCCAGACCACTGTCCCGCCCAGGAGGCCCCGAAGGGGACGTGGGGCACAGAGGTTGGCGTGGGGCCGATGGCTGCCCGCAGGCACACGCAGACCCCCGGGTGGCAGCAGTGGGTCTGGGGAGGGCGCGTGGGGCCCGGGGCACTGCCTGCAGCCCAGGGACCCTCCTCCGTGTCGAGGACTCGGCCCGCCCGACCTCTGCGGCTCGGGGGTCTCTGTGGGGCTGGAGCTGGCCGGGGAAGGCCCGGTCTTCCTCAGGGCCCTGCGTGGTGGGGGGGGCCGTGGCAGGGACCGCCGTCTACACGGTGTGTGCTGTGATCCCACGTCTCCCCCGTGCCCTGCGATAAGCCGGACTCCGGGAGAGGCGCCTGCTGAGCCTAGAGCAGGACCCTGGGGCTGCTGACTGGGGCTCCCTGGCTGGCTTGGGCGAGGGGCGTGCTGGAGCCGAAGGCTCCCCTGGGGAGCTCTTTCCAACTTTTCCTGGGCCAGCCTCCCCAAACCTGCGGTTGTGCTGGTGAGACAGCAAGCGGCCCTTCCACGGGCAGCGAGGCCGGGACGGAGCCCAGCCCTGGAGCCCTCAAGTCCCCGGGGCCAGGCTCTCTGAGTGGCCAGGCTGGGGCTGCCACCTGGGGCAGGGACTCCTGGGATGAGCCCAAGTCCCTTGTGAGCAGGGCTGGGTGGCAGGAGGAGGCGGCCAGAACGGGGAGTCTGGGGTGGGAGGAGGTGGCTGTCGGTGAGACTTGTTCCCAGTATATGAATGCGGATTCGAGATCTCTCAAAGTGACTGAGCGGTGGGTGAAAAGGAAAATAAAGACAAAGAAACAATTTTCTTCAAAGCTGGGCCCAGGGGAGGCACCACATAAAGCCGCTCTCAGTTTTTGTTATTTCAATAGGGGAGGGTGAGCAAGGCTGCACAGAGTTCCAGCGATAATTATACAAAAAGAATACATTGGCAAAAACTGGTGCACAAAAATGACAACGTGGTCTTATAAAAGCAGAACAATGCAAAGATGACTTTCTGTGTGTCAGCACAGAAACCATGCACCTTAGCAAGAAGTGAGGTTAAACATAAACTTATGATTTATCAGCAAGAACACATTGGGCTCACAGCTGTGGGGGACAGGATCTGACACAGGACAGCCAGCCTGACCACAAAACTGCAGAGGAGGGGCCTCCACGCAGGCCTGGAGGAGCCGGGGGAAAAGAAAGACTTTTACACCCTTGTCTCCACCACAGAGAAGACGCCCCCCAAGGTCCATTTATAGGCTCTCCATAAGGGCCGCATCCCCTTTCCAGGGCCCTAATCAATATGCCTTTCCTGGGAAGGAGTCCAGGTAATAAGCCTCTCCACTGCATGTCCGTGTGCAGGCTCTCTGCAATGAGAGGCCGATGACACACTGTCTTCTCTCTCCGCAGTCAAGCTGTGTGGTTAGTCCCTTTCACAGAGTTGCTGTTTTTCTCAGGGCCAAAGTTACAAGTTGCAGCTCAGCAGAGCCAAAGTTACAAGCCACGTCTCAGCATTTCACATCTTTCTTCATTTTCTCAAGTATAATCGATACAGTAAGTAACAAGCATCACAAAGCAAATAACGCATTTCAGCGAAACCAAATTCTAGGAGGATTTATAGGTTAAAAATCAACAATTTCTTCTTGTTATTTCAGATAGCTCAGGTTTTGCCAGTTCTTCCAGAAGCGTGGGGTTGCTTAGTCACTGCCAAGGGGTCCACAGTATTCCCAGCGGGTGGCCAGGACAGGGACCCCGGGGGAGAGGCGGCCAGGACAGGGAGTCTGGGGATCTGGGGTGGGAGGAGGTGGCCAGGATGGGGACCTGAGGGGAGGAGGCGGCCCTGGCGGGGCTCACAAGACAGGCACACTGTGAGTGGGAGGCACCTGGCTGGGCCTTGGTGACTCTGTAACACGGGGCCCAGCGCCCACAGCCTCAGCTGCCTGTGGGGGTAGGAGGAGACGAGGTCAGGAAGGGGACTCCGCTCCCTGGCCCCGTAGTCCAAGAGGTGTCAGGACAGCTGGAAGCCCCAAGTCTGCCAATGCCCTCCCTGCCAGCCCTCTTTTTAAACTTTATTTTTATATTTTTAGAGATGAAATCTCACTCCGCTGCCCGGGCTGGAGTGCAGTGGCACGGTCACAGCTGACTGCGGCCTCAAGCCCCTGGGATAAAGCGTTTCCTCTCCCCTCAGCCTCCGGAGTAGCTGGGACCGCAGGCGTGCACCATCACACTCAGCTAATTTTACAATTTTTTGTAGAAATGGAGTCTCACTACATGGCCCAAGGTGATCTCAAACTCCTGGGCTCAAGTGATCCTCCCTCCTTGGCCTCCCGAAGTGCTGGGATTATAGGCGTGAGCCTCTGCCCCCGCCTGCCAGCCCCCTCTTTCAGGCAGGACCTGCATGGGGGCCACACTCTCATTAATGGGGTTTCCCAGCCCTGCCCCTCCCTCTGGGCAGAGGCCACCTTTGCCATGCCCCAGCTATCCTCACCCGGGTGATGGGGTGCTCTGCAGGTCCCAACCTGCCCCTGCTCCGGCCACCTCCACCCCTGCCCTCCTGGCCGCAGGCCCCTCCCTGGTCCTGTTCTTGCTCAGGGCCAGGCCCACGCTGCGGGTCAGGCATGTGGGGAGCCGGGTGGGGTCTGGCAGGCCTAGGCCCTGCAGGAGGAATGCCCGGCCTAGGCTGCAGCTGGGTCCTGTGCCTTAGGGCTGCGGCAGGTCACGCTCTCTGCCTGGGACACAACATTCCAGGACAGGGAGGGAGGCCGGGGCGGGCTGTCTGGGCGTCTGAGCCTCCAGCATGGGCACTTGGAAGGGGGCCAACAGGATGCAGGGCCTCAGGAATGACAAGACGAGGTGGAAGGTGGCCTGAGGGGGCCTCCTACCCACCTGACTGGAACCCGAGACCCCAGGCCGGTGGGTGGGACCTGAGGAGAGCCCGCCCCGCCCAGCCCACCCCAGGCCTGCCCTGGGCACCACCTCTCCTGCCAGGCCTCAGGAGGGAGGCAGGGGGCGCGTCCCCTTGGGGGTGGCACCTGCCAGGTACACACATAAAGAGGTGGGTCTGTGGTCACCCTGCCCATAGCCATTTCTTCTCTCTGTCCCTGTGGGCCCGGCAGCTGCCAGGATGAGGCCACCATGCGGCCTGTGGCTTTGGCTCTCCTTGCTGAAAGTCCTTCAGGGCCAGACCCCAACGCCCCTGCCACTCCCGTCCCCGATGCAGAGCTTCCAAGGAAGCCAGGTATGAGGCCACAGCTTCCAAGGAAACCAGATGCAGGGAGAGGTGGCTGAGCAGGCCTCGGGGTGCTGCCCGGAAAGTCAGGACCAGCCCTGCTCCCGGGTGGGCCCCCGACCTCCAGCAGAGGATGACCCAGTGCAGACCCGCCTGGCACCCATCCCGTTCCCTACCACTCCCCCCTCCCATTGCTCCCTCTGTGCGTGAGGGGAAACTGAGGCCCAGGAAGGCCGCACAGCCGCTGGCCAGGGTCACCGTGTCCCTGCCAGACCCGGGTCGGCTCCTGTTCCTGCCAGTGTCCCTGGCGCTAGAGCGCTGCTCTGTGAGGGACCCTGGCCCAGAAGCTGCCAGGGAGGGCGGGAGGGGGCTCCCGGCCGCACCCATTGCCCCCCTGCAGTTCCAGGGGGAGTGGTTCGTCTTGGGCCTGGCGGGCAGCAGCTTCAGGCCGGAGCACAGGGCGCTGCTGAGCCCTTTCACCGCCACTTTCGAGCTCAGCAAGGACGGCCGCTTTCAGGTCTGGAACGCCATGACGCGGTGAGTGGCCATTCCCGCCCCCCGCCCTGATCCAAGCAGGCGAGGAGGATCCCAGGCCGGATCCAGCAGCCTGAGGCTCAGGTGTGCCAGGGGCCCTGTCTCGTGACTCTGCTGCCAATGACCAAACCCAGCTCGGGAGCATACAAAAAAGTGCAGGCGGCTGGGCGCTGGTTCACACCTGTGTCCAAGCACTTCGGGAGGCAGAGGCAGGAGTTTCAGGCCAGCCTGGGCGACGCAGACACCACCTCCGCTCATGACGCTTGGCCACTCCCGCCGTGGGTCCCTCTGAATGAGTGGCCGAAATCTTCTGGGGGGGCCCACCTTGGCACGGATCTGCCAGCTTCCGGAACCTTCTGCCTCCACCCGTCCCCTCCCACAGAGGCCAGCGCTGTGACACATGGTCTTATGTGCTGATTCCGGCTGCACAGCCCGGGCAGTTCACTGTGGACCACGGCAGAGGTGAGCGGGTCACAGCAGGGAGGGACAGGGTGCCGGCCCACAGGGACATGACGTCTGTGTCCCCTCAGAGCCCGGGGCGGACAGAGAGGAGACCTGGGTGGTGAATAGCGACTACACCCAGTTCGGGCTGATGCTGTCCCGCAGACACACGGGCAGCCTGGCCGTCCTCAGGATCAGCCTGCTGGGTGAGCCCCCGCCCCACCCCGGGCCTGTATTGGCCCTGGAGGCCCCTCCTTTCTGGGGGTCCCAACCCTCCCTCCCCACCCGGCCTGGAGCGACTTAGGGGTACAGATAGCTTAATCTCCCCGTACCCACCCTGGCCACCCACCCACTGCCAAGTGCGCAGACCCACGCTGGGCTCCCTGGGCTGCAGGCAGGAGCTGGTTCCTGCCTCCCGGGACGCTGGACCAGTTCATCTGCCTGGGCAGAGCTCACGGCCTCTCAGACGACAACATCGTCTTCCCAGATGTGACTGGTAAAGGGCTTGCCTGCAGCAGGCTGGGCAGTGGGCACCGGGCCTGCCAGAATGAGTGGTTGACCCTAGAGGGGCTGGACCTGGGGTCTGCCCATGGAGCTCCCTCAGCCTGCACTCAGGGGTCTCAGGGCTCCTGGGTCCCTGCCCTCAACCCAGGCTCTGAGCCACCTCCTCCCAGCCTGGGTCCCCTATCCTAGTGACCTTCTCCCCTCACCCAGCCCTGCTTACAAAGAGCTTGGGTGTCATCCCAGGTGGTGTCCTGGGCCTCAGCAACCTGCCCCGGGTGGCCGCCCCAGCCTGGCCACTCAGAGAGCCTTGGCTTCCAAGGCTTGACTCTTCTTGCATAAGGGCAAGGACAGCACCTCCTCTTCCAGGAGCGTTGCCCATTGTGCCCTTCTGATTCCTGCCTCTTGTCCTTTACATGTGCATAGCCACGTGCACACACACGCATGTGTAAATGTGTACAGACCGGCACATGCTTGCACATGCAAACACCCACTTAGACACACATGCACTCATACTTGCTCACATGCTGTATACTCATGCAAGGCACGAGTGCTGGTGTGCATGCACCTACACACACCTGCACACTCCTGCCCACACCTGCAGGCTCCTGCACACACCTGCCCACACCTGCACACACCTGCACGCTCCTGCCCACACCTGCACACACCTTCAGGCTCCTGCACACACCTGCACACATCTGCACACACCTGCCCACACCTGCATGCACCTGCACATATCTGTACGCTCCTGTATGCACCTTCTCACACCTGCACACATCAGCATGCACCTGTGTGCTCCTGTATGCACCTCACACACCCTGCATGCTCCTGCACATACCCGTATGCTCCTGTATGCACCTGCTCACACCTGCACACACCTGTATGCTTCTGTATGCACCTGCTCACACCTGCACACATCAGCATGCACCTTTGTGCTCCTGTATGCACCTCACACACCTGCACGCTCCTGCACACACCTGCATGCTCACCGTGCCAGGCCTCCTGGGTCTGCAGTGAGTCTGGGGGCCCATGGGGACAGGTAGGGCCAGGTGAGGGGCTTCCTGAGGACCCAGGCTGTTGGCAGGACAGCCCCTGTGGGCCACATCCTCTGCCCCTTCCGGCCTCCCCCACCCCAGCCCCTTCCCTTAAGCCCACCGCTGGTCCCCTTCCTTTGCTCCTTGCCTGAAGCCACCTGTCCCCTCCTTTGTACCCCCGCTTCATCCTGGGCTCTGTCCCCCGCTGCCGCCTTGTCCTCCGTCTCTGCTCCATCTCCCCCACCAGGCTTTTCATCCCAGGCCAGTGGCTGTTGAAGCATGAAGCAGCTCCTGCCGCGCCCAGCCCTGCCTCACAGCTTCCAGCTCTGCCCTCCTCTGCTCTCAAACCTGAATAAATGCACCAAGCCCGGAGCCCCAGAGTGTGATCACTGTGACCTCGGCTGGGCAGGGGGACAGGGACAAGGAGACCACTGACCCTGCAGGGCCAAGAGAGCTCATTCCCTGGTCCTCCATGGCTCCCCCCAGCTCAGAGCTCCTTCTCTGGCACCCCACGGCCCCCCGCCAGCTCCCTCCAGCCAGTGTGTGTGTGTGTGTCAATGAGAGTGTGCACACGTGTGTTCATGCGTGAGCCTTTGCACATGGTTGTGGGTTGTCGGCAGGGCAGCTCCTGTGGGCCACGTCCTCTGCTCCTCCACTTGGGGCCGCCGTGTCAGGTGCAGCCAGGCTGGAGCTTGCCCCGGGAACACTCGGCCCCTGAGGTGTCCCAAGCAGTGGCCGTGCTGTCAGGCAAGCTCACCAGGAGCTCCCAGGGCCCCAGAGCAGGAGGAGGCCCTGATGCGGATGCCCCAGGACTGGAAGAGGAGATGTGGGGACAAGCAGCTGCAGACTGGAGCCTGCTGGGCACAGAGACACAAAGGGTCTGAGGCCGCAACACAGAACCCCACTCCCAGCCGGAGCCCCCCAACCCTGCCTGTACACCTTGCAAGACGGCTGCATTTGGAAGCCCAGCCCCAGCGGCAGCCTATCTCTCAGTCCTCCCATATCTGTGTCCATCTTGGCCCCCACTGTCCTCCAGGCAGGGAGAGCAGGGCAGTTCCCAGGGCAGCCATGGACCCTCGTGGTCTCTGGCCTTGCTAGAGAGTGGAGGGCATCCAGAGGCCCCCACCTTGTCACATGTGCAGGCACGTGCCGGTCTGTACACATTTGCACATGCATGAGTGTGTACGCACATGGCTATGCACATGTGAAGGACCAGAGGCAGGAAGCAGAAGGGCACGATGGGTGCCCGCTTTCACCCACTGGAAGTACCCCGCTGCTCAGGAGCCTGGCCCTGCTGAGAATCCTTCTACCACCATGTGCAACCCTGCCGGGCAGGCTGTGTGGCATCCAAGCAGATTCTGAAATTGGAGGATGGGCAGAGGCAGCAGACATCCTGGAATCCCTCCCTGCCCTGATGACCCCAACAAGGTGGACCCCCAATATCAACTCAACGACACCTGTGGTGCTTACTGCAGCCACAATTCAACTTTCTCTGTGTGTCTGACTCCCCAGCACGCAACCCCCACAAGGCCAGGTACAGGCCTGCTGTGTCCATCCCTCTATCCCACATTCCAGCATGGCACCTGGCACAGAGAAAGCTGCTGAATGATGGGTGAATGGATGAATGGATGGGTGTGTAGATGGATAGCTAGATGGATAATTAGATGATGAGTGAGTGGGTGGATGGATGGATGAGTGGTTAAATGGGTGGCTAGGTGGATGGATGGAAGGATGGTTGGATCATGGGTGGGTGGATGGATGGATGGATGATGGGCAGGTGGGTGATGGATGGATGATGCTTTTTTTTTTTTTTT